ACACCCACAGAGATCCTTGAAATTAATATTTGAATTGTACTTTTAATAAAACAACAACAAGAACAATAAATATAAAAACAACAAGAACTAGAACTTTTTTTACATAGGCTACAATTAGGCTTCGTTTACAAGCCTCATTTTCGTGATTCTCCTCCCCTCGACCGACATTTCCACCTTCACTTTTGGAAATGATTAGTCTCTCCTCGAAAGGCTGCCATGTAGCTCTATCAATAAGCAGAATTGAGCCACTTTCTGTCAGTACTTAGAAGGGGCTCTGCGCTGCTGCTGCCTTCCTCCTCTGGCTCCATCACTCCAACAATGTCCGCGAAAAACACCTCATCTTTTGGCTTCTGTTGAGAGTTAATAAACACATTGATTACACACTTAAAGTATTGGCTTTATAGTATTTGTATCACTTTTTCATGGTTTTCACAAAAGTCACTTCAGTTTGGATATAACTTACATTCTCAGAGTTTCGTATCATGTTAATAAAGATAAAGATTCCGTAAAGATATTTTAAGTATAGGTCACATAATTATCATATTCAGTTAAACTGGCTAATAACTTTAAAACGTCCTCAATTAATAGTTTCCTAACAATTCTAAAAACTGAGACTGAAACCTCTGTTTTATTTTATAATAGTGTTTAAAAATGCAAGAATTTTCTAAAAGTACCTCAATGTTTGTGTAGTTTGACGATTGCAGCTGTAGCCCGTAGTCCGTGTTGCTGCATTTCATGTGCGTGACTCGCACTCTCTCCCCAAGGTTCACTTCGAGGACTGCAGCCTCCCTCCAAAGTTTGATTTGGATTCTTGATGTGTCCTGTTAAAAATAAGGGTCACAATAAAACAACAATTTATTAAAAAAAGTGTCATCTTAAAGTGACAAAATATGTTTCTACTTTTCAACAAGTATTTAGCGCATGCTTACCTGATCCAGAATCATTCTCCTCATCGGAATGACGTCTTTTCCGCTCCTTACCGGCTGTACTGCATTGATCTAAAAACAAAAATAGTGCTTTGTTAATTGTTCTTTTCTTTAGTTTGATAACTACATTCAAAAACTGAACTTTTCCATTCTTATGTGCAGCATTTGTTGCGACGCACAATAAATCTTAATAGAAGCCAAGAAATACCTCTACCACCTCCCCCTCAACCGACATGAATCCCATTACATCTCGACACTCAGTGATTTGTTTGAGCGGTGAGGCAGGATGGATCATGGCCTCTGCCTCTTCAATAAGTTGTTCCGGTACTGTTATTGTGGAACTTTTAAAAAATGTGGCTTCTCTCCCTACATTCAAAGTGAATGGGGGAGACTGCCCCCGCAGAGTGTGGCCTCTGATTATGTAGGCTTTACCCTCAACCATCTTTGAAGAGAACTCTTCGTAGAGTGTAACCCTGGCAAGGCTGTGGCCGTCGGAAATAACAGCCACTCTATTTTGTTTAATTGTGGCTGCCCTTGCCATGTTCTCATTAAATTCCCAGGTCACCACCCTAGGCTGGTCCTCCACTTTCAGAACTTGCACATGCAAGGGTGGTGGCCTGAAATACGGGGTGTCCGGGCTAGTGGTCAGCAGCTTGATCAAAGCCATGATCTGAAACAATAAGAAATACAGACATTAATTATAAATAACTTGACATTCTCATCAGGCTGTAATGTAGGCTACATTTGACTAAATTAATATAAGTTTCTAGAAGTAAAATTCATTCTGAAATGAAAGGAAACTAGTCCAACTTTCAGTTACTTACAAAATAAATCAAAATTAAAAGCTGATTTAGGCCTACTTTTTAGTGGTGATTCCAAATGCAGGGCTGACGAAAAAGAGGTGCTGTGACAAAGGGTCATGAGTCTTATTCGATTGTGTTTATTTATTATTGTGTTTATTATATTTTTGACAGGTGTCACGAGACACCGGCAGCTTTGATGTACACTATTCTGCATGACAACCAAGTCGGCCTGGGATTGGATAAAGAGGGGTAGCCTATACCGAGACGCGGTTAGGCTTTTGGGAATGCCTCATAGCAACCAAATCACCCTGTGATTGGATAACAGGGGTATCCAGGAGACGCGGTGGCTCTGATGTAGGGAAGGCTTCATGACAACCAAGTCGGCGGGGCACACGTTGAATACATAATAATACAGTAGTTCAAAATACAAAGTACAAAATTGACTTTTATTTTTGATATCTTTTCAACTTTTTGAGATATTGAATTTAGTTTGGAGCTTAGCAGAGAGGCCTTTTTCCCATTAAAGTGAATGGAGCAGGACAGCTCGAAATTCTCCCCCAAAAATGTGGCTGGGGGTGTTGCCAAATTGCTAGAGGGCGTTGCCAAATGTCCCCATTTGTTCAATTACAGGATTTAACCATGAGATGGCGCTTCATTCACAAATACACAAAGACAACTTGGTGTTGTAGAACTTAGTCTGTTTGCAATGTTTGCAGCTCTGCAGTTGTGTTTGTTGAATACTGTAGCATTTAATCACTTATTTGTTATGGTTTTCACAAGCTACTATAATGAAAAAACATCAGTTTTAGATCAAATAAAGTATATAGTTTGCTTTATGCAGTATATTTTGTGTAATATTGTTGGGGTGTTTTTACACAGTACAGTAGATTGAAGTAAATCAACTTATACATTAAAGGTGGGGTAGGTAAGTTTCAGAAACCGGCTCGAGTGCACTAAAATTTGAAAGTACGCAGCCGAAAATAATCCGCCCCTTCCTTCAGACTTCCTTACAGAGCACCTCCTCCAACACACATGAACGCGCACATGACGTCAGCAGACTGGTGAAAGTGGCCGCCTGTTGCTGGCGAGTCATTGAAGTACTGCTGCAATGCACGCCCAATGACGGCACGCCCAATGAGGGCACGAGATACATTTGTGCGTGATGGAAGGCTGACAGACAGGGCGGCAATCCAATCCGTTTAGCCGAGCCGGCTAAACGGCACAGATTCACACAGATTAATAAAATCAAAAATAAGATGAGCGATAAAAATAAAAATAATAATAATGAGAAACTATGTAATAAGAAATGCATAAAACAAAAATATAATTATCATATCATATATTGTAATGTATTGTATTAAGTAATATCATACATTAACCCCATTATAGCAGATGCCACATTGAATGGATGAACACATTTATGCATCAATAATTACAACAGAGTATTTCTAAATACAAGTTGTAAAAATACTTATATGTATTTAATATTAATAACATAATGATTAATTTCAGATGATAATACTTTTCAGGGTTAGGTCCGGTCTGACAGCTCTCTGCTGCAGAGAAGATCACTGCTCTAAACAAAGTCAAAAATCCTACATCCAAACGGAATAAATATAATTAATTATGATGAATACGTTAAGTCTTGTTCATTGTTTTTCACTTTTATTAAATGTTTGATATTTCCGGCACAGACCCTTTCATACCGGCAATGCGCGATAGAAACAACAGAAAGTGCGACAGTTTAAATATGCCAGTGTTAATTTCGTCAACGAAAACTATGATGAAAAATGTTCGTCAACAACCTTTTTTACATGACTAAGACGAGACGATGACGAGCTAAAAATAGATTCTTGATAAGGAAAAATATGACGAAATGTATATTTAGTTATCGTTGACGAGACGAGACTAAGGTGTTAATGGTGGACTATCGGACATTCAAAATGCAGCATATTTTCCCCCAAGTGTCCATCTTGTCTGTCAAAATGCATCTTACGTTTCTAACTTGCAATATCATTATTTCCGCTCTCTTCACTCCAGAAGAGCGATCTCCCTGTGTCTCTCTGTGTGCGGGGGGCGGGGCCTAACAGACATGCTGCAGCGGACACAGAGATCTGCTGGGGACGGAGCATTCAGAGAGTATAGAGACACATTTTGACTAAAAGTTGACTAAAATGTGACTAAAACTAATAACCATTTTCGACTAAGACTAAATCAAAAACAGCTGCCAAAATTAACACTGAAATATGCGAACACAAACCTACAGACTGGGGGTTGGAAGATCACAGGAGGGGGGGGAGAGCTGTGGAATGTGACCACCCACCTTGGGAGACTTACTCCACACATTCCGATGGCCAATTAGTTTTAAACAAAGAGTTTGCAGCATACAGCACAGGCAACATGGGGGTGGGGGCTTCTCAAAAGATTTTTTGTTGTTGTTGTTTTGTGTCAGTTTTACGTCGCCACTTCCATTCACATTTTTCATCATTGTTCATCATGAAATTAATATCCATATATGTTATACTATACTTGCACTGCTTACCGTTTTCATACTTTATATATCTTAGCATATTCATACACACTGTTAATACTGCTCACAGGCTGCTAGTGTATTCATACTAGTGTTGCACGGTGTACCGATACTTGAAAGGTACCGCGATACCCTGCCGTTAAAAACGGTACGATTCCTCCGTTTCATTAGTATCGGTACTTTAAGAATGACGGGGAAAAGTACTCCGGTGAGAAAGCGCCGTTTTAATAAGAGCCGTGTGTGTTCAGCGCTCTGCTTCCACTCCCTGCACTGCAGCAGTGCCTGCAGTCCCGCCCCTCTCAAGCACGCTCTAAGTCCCTTCCCTCTCTCGTGCACACGGCCACGCGCTAGCTGCCAGAGCGTGTGAGAAAACGAGAAGCATGGCTGCCGCTGCGCCTCGGCTTGTTGACAAAAAAGACGCCAGAAGCTAAATTTGGAAGTATTTGAGCTATATCTCTGACAGTGAGGGCAAGCCTACGGACACCACGAGGCCTGTCTGTGAGAAATGTTTCAGATCCCTGCAAACCAAGGGATCCAACACATCAGACTTGGCTAAGCATCCCGCCGACCGGAATCCAGAACTGTTTAAAGAATTTAAAGACAGACAGGTTAGCGAATGTGATAGATAACATAATTACATCATGCTCAAGCCCTCAAATCTAAGTCAAACAAGTGTAATTTATTTTGTGACAAACGAACGTTTTCGTAGTTTGACGAGGCAATTAATGGCAATGATAACTGTCTAATATGGCTATCTTTTTAGCTAACTTACCAATGTGGCTAACATCTGCAATATACATTTTGTCAATAATTATTTATATTACTGTACTATATCCGTTTGACCTTCTGATCGGAGGCAGTCCATGCAACGACCTCTCCATGGTCAACCCTCTGAGAAAAGGATTATTCGAGGGAACTGGACGTCTGTTCTTTGAGTTGTACCGCCTGATGACGCTCATGAAGCCGAAGGAGGGCGACGACCGCCCGTTCTTCTGGCTGTTTGAGTACGTTGTGTTCATGAGTGGCCACGATAAATCAGACATCTGCAGATTCCTGGAGTGTAATCCGATCCTCATTGATGCAGTGAAGGTCAGTCCTGCTCACAGAGCGCGATACTTCTGGGGAAACCTCCCCGGCATGAACAGACCTCTGGCTACGGCTATGGATGATAAAGTCGGCCTGCAGGACTGCTTGGAACTTGGACGCATGGCAATGTTTGAAAAGGTCCGCACCATCACAACAAAGTCCAACTCGATCCGGCAGGGGAAGATGGGCCCGCTGCCCGTCACCATGAACGGAAAAGAGGATTACCTGTGGTGCACGGAGATGGAACAGATCTTTGGCTTCCCCAAACACTACACCGATGTGAATAACATGGGTCGAGCTCAGAGGCAGCAAGTGCTCGGGAGATCCTGGAGCGTCCCGGTGATCCGACACCTGTTCGCCCCGCTGAAGGACTACTTTGAATGTGAACAACAACTTTAAACAACAACTGTGAACAGCTGATCCTGCCTTACAAACACCACGGTATTCAATCTGTCCTGATTCACTTTTCGACGTGTTTTTCTCATCGTTTTTATCCGCTCTCACCAGCAGGCACCGACACTTCCTCCTCTCGGTGCGTTGATCAAACTATAATCTACTCCTGAAGCACGAGGTGAGATTAACGGGGGGTTAACTATCTTTCTTTTGGGCTAATCTCAGGTTATCTGTTGTCACAACGATGGTTAAAAAAACCTTTTCCTGACTGAAGGATAAAGATAAGGCAAATGTGGCAGTGAATATAAGATATAGTGGGCCTATCATGGAAAAGCTAAGACATTGAGCTGTCTGAGTGGAAAAGTACAGTACTGTGTTAAAGTCCAACTGCTGAGAAGCCTCAGTGGAAATATACTATGTGAATACTGTGTGCAACAAAAACGCGGGGTCAACCAGATTAAGAACAGAGGCATCCTGTTATGTCCAAACTGATAAGCCACAAGGTTGCAGAACTCATTATTCTCACACTAAATCACCCACCAAGCAGGCGCAACAGTTCACAAGGGCAGTCTTGTGAGTGAAACCAGATAAAGAAGTGAGTGAAAGCAAATAAGGAAGTAACAAAAGCGCGCCGAAGGCTAACCTAAGAGTTGCTAGGGTAGCAACGGCAGATTACACCACAAGAAAGCAGCGATGGGGGGGGGCTCCGCTAGGAACAGTATATAAGCAGGATGTATTCAGTACTCGAGGCTCTCTTCAACTGGGATCTTACACTGACGAGCTTGTCACGGTGAGAACTCAAGAAGAAGGAGTCCAAGGCGCTTTGTGGTATAGTATCAGATTGATGTATCTTTGTTGAACTGTGTAATAAAGTGCTTATTTGAAGAAACAATCCATTGGAGTGCAAAGTCTAGTTTTGTACAGCTAACAGAGAATAGTGTCTAGGACACAATTCCTTTTCCCTCAGAACTAAGAACGGTCATCGGCAGATCCGGACAGCGACCCCGCTCTAGCCATATCCAAACGATCTGCGCGGAGGACGGACCTGGTCCGGTAGACTCCAACATGACCGATCAGCTCAGGTGTAAAAAGTATTAATTCCTACAGGAAACACAAGCAGTCAAGACATTTGTTTGCCTACCATTATAATAAACAATCAGGATTAATTGAGTCAGAGCTTTACTTCTATCCATTATTGTTGGTTCATCATTAGAAAAAAGCCTTAGTAATACTTATTAATAGCCTTAATTTCCATATTTGGACATCATTTCAGGGTCTATGCAGGAATCCTGAAGTCAAATGTAATACCTTTTAAGACCCTTTCCATACATTTTAAGACCTCATCTCCACTTGGAGTTCTAACCGGTTACCTTGGCGACAAACTTTACCTCACATTGACTATATACAGTATTGATTGTCCTTCCTCCTTATCTTCCAACCATTTGGACGCAGACTTGCATTTCCCCATAACGATGTTGTTTAACAACCGGCGTAAACGGACCTTCGCGCGCTATCAAGCAGTGAGCGTGCGATGTCCTGTTCAGATGACGTCAAACCCAACGGGATGCCATAAATAAACTACACAGAATTAGGGGTGCACCGAATGGGAAATTCTTGGCCGAAACCGATACCAAAAATAGGAAACAGTTGGCCGAATGCCGAAAGGCCGAAAATGATTAATAGAAATATATATATATATATATATATAATGTATACATTTTTTACCAATGTTGTTCAGCTACCTGATTATGGAAATAGACATGATTATGGCAAAACTTAACTTAAATAATAATCACTATTATGGGTCCATAAAACATGTATTCAGCACTTTTGAATGCATACAGTACATTTATATATGTCATGTATTATTGCTAAAAAACATTATATCGCAGTCTTAGTGTCGCCAACTCGTTTCTAATATGCAAAGACAACAAATGCGTCTATGATGTATTTTTCGATCAGACGAGATCTCTCTCCCCCGTCTGTGTGCGAGGGGGCGGGGCAGTTTACACACACGCAGCTGCTACATGCAGCGGAGCACACTGCGGAGATGGCGGAGAGAACGCGCTCCGAGGTGTGGTTAAACTTTACCCGTCTCGATGTGGAGAATACTTGTTACCATAAGTGCAATAAGAGTTTAGCATGTAAGCACGAGCAATTTGTCTAAACATTTAGCAAAAGTGCACCGCATGCAGACGGAGGAATGTACCGGGTTCGACCGTCTTTCTAGCAGCTCTGTAGCCCCATCCACGAGTAACGTTTCCACGTCAGGTGTTATGTATGCTAGCAGCAACACACAGGAGTTAACTCCATGATACAAACATGGGTTAATGATTAGAGGAAACTGAGTTATTTAGTTTGTTAAAATTTCAGCTATTCTGTTTACAGTCTGTCATCAGATTATTTAATACGATTTGTTAAAGGCTCAGGGCAATCTCGATGACAAAGGTCAATGTCCCCCCCCCCCCTCCCTGTGAGCCAGCCGTCATCACAACAACGCGTTAGGTTACCAACGTAAGCCTGTTCTGACATTCGGTGATATTTTTTCGGTGCTAAAACCCTTTCGGCCGAAAGCCGAAAGGGCCTTTTTAACCATTTTCGGCCGATAATTTTCGGTGGCCGAATATTCGGTGCATCCCTACACAGAATCACACTACACACCTACGCAATGATTACATTCAGGCACACTGTAGAATACAACCTCTTTGGAGAATTCATATACTTATTGAAAACAAGCTACAAAATCTAAAAATGCCGTTTAATACTTTTTAGAACTTTTTAATAGCCTTCGTTTTCAACTTGTAATGCTTTTTAAGACCCCGCGGACACCCTGCCTTTGCCATATCCATATTTGGACATTATCCATAATATTTATACAAGGGCTGTACCAAATATTCTAAAGTTTCACCAAATTAGGAACAAAATATAAATCAGATTATGTACGTTTCTGCAGCCCTGTTATCATAGTAGGAACTTCAATTCTTCATTCATAGCTGGATATGTGGATTATAAATTAACATTTACATGTGCTTAATGTGTCTGTGCAGATACAGATAAGACACTAATATCATTTCAATCAGGACAGACGGTTCTGATGTAAGAATACATATTTGTTGCCAGAAATACACAAATGAATGTAATGGAGTTTTGGCGATTAGGCCCCGTTGTGCGGGAGTATCATTCGGGAAGGGAGAACCGAAGGTTTAGCGGAGCGCTGTGATAGGCTTGTGAGAATAAAGCGAAGTGATTGGTTAAGCTGGGGAGTGATGCCCCCGATCAGTTATTGAGAGGAGAGGGAGTAGTAACATCGACATAGGAAATGAATGAGTAAAGACGGTCTTCCTGGTTGAACTTGCGCTGAGGTTCATTTGTTGACATTTAGCCTTTAAAAAAAACTATTTTCGTTAAATACATTTTTTTTAAAAGCTCGTAATGTTAAAGTAGGAACTTGTGTAACCATTCATAGCTGGATATTTGGATTATAAATTAACATTTAAATGCTGCCGATCACGTTATATACATATAATATATATTTAGTGATTATCTGTTATTCAGCATCATTTTTAATCCCGTTTATCTCGCTCTGTGCTTCAGGCTCTATCTCAACATCCATCAGTCAGTATTTCTGTATTTTTACCGTAATATTTTACCAGGTTTCGATCCAAACATGTTCATTGTCAGCTGATTTTTGTATACGTTTTATGCAAATGGTATTCATCTCTCTGTGGTTCTTTACAGAATCACTCACTGGTTGGTGCTAAACTCTTATTATCCTCCATTATTCTATTACAATGTCTGCTTTTAATACTGAGGAATTGAGGGAAAATTGAAGTAACTTGAAATTTTGAAGTGAAAGTTTGATACAGCGTATTTTTGGTATATTCATCTTAATGTCCCCTGATATATAAGAAGTGTGTTTTTATATATTCATGTGTGTACTTAATTACTTTGTATTTAATAGTAGCAGTTTATATGAACAAGAAGCTGGAGATATGAGAAGTGGATGGGACAGAGAGGAAATACCCTTATATAGACATATGCTATCGACAGCAGAGGGTAGAATGTGTGTGTGTGAAAGCTGCTGAAATACCAGCTGTTTTTGCTTCATACTAAGACTGTTTCCGGATCATCTCGGCTGGCACGCGCTGATACGCTACGAAAGCCCATCATTTGTAAATGGGCCAATAGATTACCTGTATGTTAGGACCATGCACACAGCTCCTCCTGTTGTTTTTACAATATCTCCTGTTGAGCCCTTGTGTTCGTTCTCTTTTCTCCTGCTGCCAAGACGAGTAAGTAAGAGTTCCCAGCGGGAGGAACCAGGGCCGGGGTAATCCGGATTACTTCGTGAAATTGTGTTATTGTGTCTTTTGCCATTAAATCAGCATATTTGTTATAACCTTACCAATGGTTGCTGTGAATTCTTCCTCTGTTAATCTGACCCATTCACAAAAGGATGCGTGGAGGCAGGGGGGGGGCCTTAGAGCCCCCGCCAAAGAATGACTCTGCCACAACAAAGTAGTGACAACGACGTGGGTGAAAAGGGTTGTTTAGAGGAAAACACTAGCAGCCAGCGGACGGAGGGAGATGCCTGGAATAATCTCTGACAACTAAGGATCCTACAACTGAAAGGTAAAACGGACGCCTGTTTCTATCGAAGGTCTGTAATTGGCTCAAGCTAAATTTTAGAGTTGTCAAAGATATTTCCAAGTGTCATTTACGGTAAAGAATGCAATGCATAGTTTAGCGTAGGTAGGTAGGTAAGTTAGAAATAAATAAAGCAACGGTTAAAAGCTTCGTAGATTTTTCAGAATCATACGGCTAAACTCGTTAGCTACAAGTGAAGCAGTGAAGTATTTTCAGCGTCAGGTATTGAGTCTCTGGCGACTGGAAGGGTATAAGAGTCCCTACGCCTAGTGGAGGTATCGAGTCCCCACAGGGTATACTTCCTGGGGGGGTCAAATGGTTGTATCGAGTCTCCATCCGTGACCAATCAGAATAATGCTTTCCAGTGTCATAGGTCGCTGCAGTTGTATTATATGTAAAAATCCAAGCGCAGAAACGCAAACTTCAAAAGCCATTGAAATTAACGGATTTCTCACTGTCTTGTACTGTTGGCTTTAACGCCCATTGTGTTGAAAGAAATATCGCATCTTAAAAGCTGAACAGACAGCGTGGAGGATATATTGATGTGCTTATGAATAAATACAATATATTATTGAACATAGATTAGCCTTAGTCAGATAAAGAAATGCGAAGTCATAATGGAAGGATACCAGAAAAAAAAGAAAAAAAGAAAAGCCCCCCTTTCTCCACAGCTTTGCTCTAATTGCTGTGCAGCAGCCCGGAGCCAGACTGCTTGCTCTCTTCTCTAATGCCTGAAAAATGGCTGCTGAGCGTTGAATTTAAAACAAGGAGTGAATAATCAACGACTGATCTGAAGTTGGAGTGAATAACATTGAAAATTAATAGATCAATGTGTGATTTGAGGTGGTAGATATTTAAATAAATAAGAAACTATAATTTGTTGTTTTTAGCATAGTTTTTGTGGGATACAGTTACGTCACATTGTGGTTTTAATGA